TGAGATTCGGATGCTTGGATTCCGACATTTGCGCGTGTTCTTACGATATGCGAACTCACCGCTGTTAGCTGATTAGTATGTCTACAACCGTTATTTGGAACCATCTATGAATGGTTTGAGTGTAAGCTAATACAGGAACATCTATCCAGAATCATAGTGTAGGAACTGAGCTCACAACAAAATTTTCATTATATCACGGTGAATGCATCATTAACTTTTTCTGAAGACTCATTCTGGTTTAAATCTTTCTCTCGAAGCCTTAAACAAATCGACCCGGGTTTTCCGCGCTCACACTTCGACTTTCAGCTTTTCAATAACCTATACAGGCGTTTTGACGAAAGACATTTTGGAAATGGGCAACCGTTTAAAGCTATTTACTAACTATTCAGATATTCTGATCGAACTTTCATTGTCCTTGAATTCCACAATTCGCGACAGTAGATAATCACAATGTGCCTTATGCAACACATAAAAATTATTATTCCTAATTAGGACTATATCATTTGATTTCGACCGCAGTAGCTATCGTTTGAGTTGTCTAACAATGCTCCTCTTAGACGACGGTAATTTCTTGGATTTTCAAGTGGATGCGTCAATCACTGGCAAGTGTGCGCCCCAAACAGTCACGGTGTCTGTATGAACGTATTGAATAGTACGAACCCATTGCCTTGGCTGCCTGATTAAATTAAGTAGCTTATTTTAAGTGCCACAATACATGCATTGATTCAACAAAAATTACTCTTCTTCCGTTGGTTCTAGCGTTTAGAATCTCTGGATAACGGAAAAGCAGTTCATTTCGCATTCGGCGAGGTGCAGTTTGCGATCCAGGCAACTCGCTACTACGCAGGATATGCAGATAAAATCAATGGAAAACTGCTGGCATCCGATGGACCTGTAGTCAGTTTCACTCGGCGGGAACCTGCCGGAGTTGTGGTAGGCATACCCTTGTGGGACTATCCATTCTTCCTAGCCATTGTAAAACTGGCTCCCAGTTTGTGTGCTGGTTGCACGTTAGTCCTGAAACCCCCCGAGCAAACTCCTTTGTCCGCTATTTACTTGGGCAGTCTCATTCGTGAAGCAGGTGAGTTTATCACATGCCTCATGTACTTCTTTCCGATCATAGTCTTGTTAAAAATATACTCGCATTGGTCTAAA